ATGTTTTTTTCTATGTCTTTCATTTAAATATTCTAACTCTCCTCCTTTTCATTCTAGAGAGTGAAAGTCACTTTTATTTCCTAATAACATTACTCATTTAATGATGTAATTGCCCAATTATTTAAGCCTCAACCAAAGAAGATCTCCTCAATATCTAGTGAGGTGTGTGTAAAATTCTTAAATTCTTTAGATTAGGGACAGGAGCTCTTTGTTTAACACTTCCCACTGCTGGACTCACAGGGCGTTTAACGAGTTAGACTGGAGGTAGAGATGTTTGGAAAACCGTCAAGTCGGGCAGGTTGTTTGATGGGATGTACAACAGGGAACCTTTAGTGTGGTTGAAGGAGAAAAAATAGAATTATACTGTATGCTTGTCTATATTATAGCATTTCTATTTGTGTATTTCAAAGTCAGTAAAAATAATTTACTCACCTAGATACACATCACTCGGATAAAATGGAATAATATTTATTCTTAGTTTAGTGAGGAATGTGCTGTTTCTCAGTGAGCTTCTAAGAACATTTCTAAACTATGCTCACATAGCAATTTACATTTAATTTAAAAGCCTAACAACACATACGGTAGTTCTTTATGTTTATCCCTGGCTGGCACACTAAAGGGAACCAGTCCTCCGCCTTGGAAATCAAAAGAGGTGTGTAAAGAGGTGTGTAAACAGAAGTTGACACATGACACGAAAATCCATGGGTGTCGCAATTTCCCGCCAGCAGGTTCCTCTGGTTAAAAGGAGAAAGGAAGAAGTATCAGGTGCTGTCACAGGAAGGACCGGCTCTCCTCAACTTTCAAAGGAGAGCTAAAGAGAAACTGTTGATAGATGTCAACCAACAACACATGTTGTGATCAACTTGCATTCTTCTGAGCCTGATGACTTAAAAACCAAGAATTGGCTTATCAGCTCCTGAGGCAACTATCTGCAATGTGAGGTGTTTTGTTTTCCAACATCTCAGTTACTTCAAAGGATTGTTGGTGTTATGCTATATAACTATCAGATACAATTTAAAAAGCAACTCTGAAGAAATAAAAGCCTAAGTCACAATTTAAATTCTTGACTTGTTTCAGCAAACTTCCTGTTCTTTAATAGCAGCGTTTGGCAACAGGAAAGAATGAAGTCTTTCTCTTCCTCCAGTATTAGGAAACCATATTCACTTTTAGGTGACTCATTCATTAGTAGTTCCTCTCATAACTTAATATATTTTTCCAGTTAACACTGTCTAATTTTATTTAAATTCAAAAAAGCCTTATTGTTAAACCTAGCCAGTAACTGGCGACTGCTAACAGTGATGGCCTTTCCTCTTCCCTGTGGGTGGCCTAAGACTGAGATGAATAGATGGGAGCCAATACTGAGTGCGGGCCGCGGTCCAGCGGTCGATTGTTGTCTAGATTCTGGCGCAGCTCTTCAGGCATGGCACAGAACTTTTCTTTCCTAGCGCGGTTTCTTTATAACAAACTGTGCTGCACCATTGTTTAAATAAGGAACACGCGGAAGAAATGACAGAAATCACTAAAGCCCGGCCGCACTCACTGCCAATCTTCAGCTCAGTTAATATTTTATAGTTTCCACTGTGGGCCGCTGTATCCTCAGCCAGGCGGTGGGCTTGAGCCCCATTCCCGGAAACCAACACAGCGACGCCCACCCACGCCATCCCCTATTGGACAGTGCTCATGGTGAGTGGCTGACACAGCTCATTACGTCAAGATGTTAGGGCCGCTGCTCCTCTACTCTGTCCCACACTCACAGTCGAGGTGGGAATCAGCGCTTCCAAATATAAATCTGTTCTTGACGGAGGAGGGTTCTCTGGGCCGCACCTCAGTCATCAGGACACCCAGCAGCAGCCCCTTCCTTCTCCAGCCCCCTCGCCCATGTCTCCCCGAAGCCGCCCCTCCACCCCCAGTGACCCTCAACGGCTCTTCTTGCCCTCTCTGGGCCCTGGTGTTTCTACTGTCTCCAAGTCCTCAGAATTAAACTGTGCGGCCCGCAAAGACCACACCCCCTGTGAGCCCCGAGGCTGTGACCAGCCTTTAGGACAAACTAAAGCAGCCCCATATCCCACACTGGGGATTACAACAAAAACGTGTTTACATGACATAAGAGATTTAAAAGAAACCAAAACCCCCGCTGCACTCAAACATCAGGGCAGGCGTTGGCTCTGCTTGATTTTACTAGAATGTTACTGCACAGGCGCTATGGCTGTAGCTAGTGGCTGGGCTCTTACCAAGCACGGTGGAGGCCCGGGGTTTGCCCACGAGACACGAGACCAGTTAAAACAAAATGAACTTTTCTCTTTTTCCTATGAGGAGGTAGGAAGACGGGCTGAAGAAAACTCGAGGCCCTTGGAGAACATCGTAGTTCAGGTTCCGGCCGACAGGCTTCTGCTTTACCTCCCTGGACCTGTTTCTCTTCGCCTACACCTAACTTCCCAGCTCCCATCTTCGTCCTCCTCCAAACCCACCCCTGCCAAATGTCGGAAAGCTTTACTCTGTAAAACTGCCACGCAACATAGATAGCAACATTATGGAATAGGACAGTAATCTGCTATGGGGTCAAAAGTCGTCCGGGCCTGGAGAGACGGCTTAGTAGTTAAGAGCAGAGTCCCTGGGTTGACTCATAACCTATAACTCCAGTTCTGGGGGATCCCATGCCCTCTTCCCACTTCCACAGGCACTAAGCCATATACGCGCGCTCGATACACATAAAAATTTAAAAATCTTAAACTAAAAAAAGGTCAAATAGAAAAAGAGACTCCCCCCACCGTGTGTGTGGGTGTGTGTGTGTGCTGAATGTAAAAAGAAACACAAAACTGCTTTATGGTCATGAAAAACCTCGGGTTTTATTTCCTTATCCCATGATTTGTCAAATGAGCTCATTTTCACGGAGCAGGAAACTCTATAGGATCTCTGAAGATCTAGAATTTAAATTCAAGCCTCTTTCTAAACAGATTTCATTTTCAAGGCACTATATGAAAACAGTATTTAGAAATGTGGTTTCCCTAGTGTTGCTTGGCCAAGAGACAACCCCTGACTCTAAATTTAACCACTTAAGATGCGTACTGCTTTACTTTTGGGGAACTTTTTCTTTTAAGACTTATTTATTATTTAAACAACATTCTGCCTGCATACCAGATCTTACTATAGATGATTATGAACCACCATGTGGTTGCTGGGAATTGAACTCAGGACCTTTGGAAGAACAGTGAGTGTTCTTAAACCTCTGAGCCACCTCTCCAGCCCTTTGGGGAGCCTTTTACAAGTAGTAAATGCATAACATTCTTTGTGCACTATCTCAATATTTAATCACCCATGAGTCAAAATGCCAATTCGTAGGAATGTTTTTGCTGGATTTAAAGCCCCTCCCCCCATCTTCTGTGGAAGTAAAAAATAACTGGCCGTTTGTTTTTTCATAACAAGTCTGGTAAAATTAAAGATTCCTGTCGCACCTTTTTGCGGGCTAACTTACACCAGGAGCCCAGATCTTCGGTGTTTGCTTATGCTGACTGATAAATACAGCTCATTCAGGGCTGGGACAATTTCTCTACTGTTCGGGGAGTCTGCTGATGTAGACTCTTCGCAAACACTCCGATCTCCAAATGTCGTTATTAAACCGAACATATGTGTTATTTTAGAGACTTTTTATTTGGAGAAAATTATTTTCTTAGCTGAACTATTTGGAGGCCTAAGGTTTTTGGATTCCGCATAAGCAACATGGTCAGTATTCTTCTGTGTTGTTTAATAACATTTCCATACGAACCTGGGGAACTGAAAAATGAAAGCCCTTTTGTTTAGACAATAACGTAGAAATTCTCATTTACCTTGGCTGAATAATGCTGCCCAACATTTCAAACCCTTCTGGAGGTGCTTGGTTGGTTTGAGGCACTTGAAGCGGAACTGGCCGTCATTGGTCAGGCAGGGTAAAGTGTGAATGTTCAACCTGGAAACCCACTTACAGATGTGGGGTTGGCAAGACTAGCTGTGATTGGGCACACTTGGGGAGTCCCCAGAATGGTGCCAACGTTCCAGAATAGAAATGTTTTCCGAGACAGGGTTGCTCTGTGCAGCCTTGGCGGTCCTGGCCTCACTTTGTAGACCGGGCTGGCCTCGAACTCAGCGATCCGCCTGCCCCTGCCTCCCCGAGTGCTGGCCGCCGGCTACCAACACTCCAGCTTTTAGCATCGCCGTTCTTTGGCGAACTTCAAGGTCTATTTTTATGCGGAGAGCATCTCTTGGAGAATACTGTCACGTCTACCCCGGCTACAAAAGGGATCCCCGGCAAGGCGAATAGGGACGGTTCTTTCTGCAAAGCCTCCCCGGCCTCCCTTCGACGGCCCCGGCCCTCCTCCCGTGGGCAGCCGCACACGCCGTCCCGTGGCCGGATTCCGGCGGCCCGCGCCCTCCGCGGCCGCTAAGTGGCCGGCGGAGCCCCCAGGTACCGACGGGCCTGGGCCCCCGCGGAAGCCGCCGCCCGGGCGCCCCAGGGTCAGGGCTGCCCGACCGGCAAGTCCCCGCGCCGCGCAAACGCGAGCGCCCGCTCCGGCCCTCCCACGCGCGGGCTCCCCGCGCCCGCCGCCGCCCGGCCCCGCCCC